TGTTAACAAATTCAAGAAACAGAACACACATAGATAGACACAAAAAGGGGGAGAGAAAGAGAGAGAGAGAGAGAGGGAGAGAGGAGGGAGAGAGATAGAGAGACACAGATAGAGAGAGAGAGAGGAGAAATAAAATAAGAATGCAAAGAACAAAGAAAGAAAAACATCATTCAAGTCAAGAAGATCGTGCAAAATGATGAAGGCACAACAAGCACGAAGTACAATCCATCTCCATTTTACTAAAAGAAAACAACATAATATTTATTTGCTCTCTCTCTCTCTCTCTTGGGGCCCTAGCAAAGTTTGCTAGGATTTCTGGCGGTCCGTGGGGAGTTTATCTCTCCCACGAGTACCCCGGAATGATGAATTTTTGATTGAAGCTGTGGAAAAAGGGGAGAGGGAAGGTGGCGTAGTAGCGTGTGTTCACCCGTGTAGACTAACCGTTTTTTCGGGTGGGTCTTTTTGGCTTACGTGTTTTAGTTCTTTTTTGTGGTCACCGAAGTAGGGTATCTTATTTTTTTGCTTTTAATTTCGTGTCCACCGGAGGATCGTATTTTTCGAGATAGCTTAGCCGCCAAAGAGTTTTTAGACTCTGTAGTTGCCTTTGCGGGTTATACGCGAGAAGGCGGGAGGGATGGTTTAATACCAAGTTAGTAGCGGGTGCTCACTCTTGTATACTAACCGTTTTCTCGTGTGGGTCCTTTTCGGTTTACGTATTTTAGTTCTTTTTTGAAGTCACTGAGGGATCGGATCTTATTTTTTTTTGTTTTTCGTGTCAACCGGAGGGTCGTATTTCTCTGAAATACTTTTAGCCAGCACGGAAAGTTTTTAGACTCTGTCGTTGCCTTTGCGGTTTAGCCGCGAGGAGGTGTGAGAGATGGGTTAATACCAAGGTTAGTAGGTGCACTTTGGAAAGAGGGTGTATAACGGTTCATTGACCAAGTGTGCGGCGAATTGGTTCAATGAAAGAACGCTGGGAATCTCGGTTGATGAAAGAACTGTTGGATGAAGGCTGGCAGATAGACTGTATTGGTACTTCCAGGAGCGCCGCGTCGAGAAGATTATGGGAGGTGATGAGAGTGAGGTGGAAGCGAGGAGAAGAGGGAAAGATTGGTTGGAGGAGGGCGAAACGATCTAAGCGAGGTCCTGGTTACAAGCATCCGAGGATGGGGGGGGGAGATCGCGTCCAAGTATGAAAACTGCGAGGAACAGACGTCGGAAAGCGAAGGAGAAGCAATCCGTACACATCGAAGTTTCGCCGGATTGAGGTAAGCGACAGATTGCAAAAAGAGAAAGGACATGGGTAGGAGGATTGGTGAGGGAAGAGGCAGTGGACGTAGGGAGGTTTTCAGGAAAGGGGCGATGCGAGGTTAGAAGGCAGGAACGAGGGGGGAGGGGATATGGGGAAATGTGGAAGGATATCGGCGTTGCAGTGTCGTTGGGTGAATGAGAGTAAAAGTCGAAGTAATGGCGGGTGGTAGGATAAGTAAAAAAACGGATACTGGGGCCGAAGAAAGAAGGGGGTGTACAATATTTGCAGGAATGAGGGTATGGGGTAGGGGGAGTATGAGCGAGGTAGAGAGAAGGGGGAAAAGGTTAGGAAAAGCGCATGGGAATGAAGTATTTAAGGGAGTAAGCCACTATTTTATGTATCGGGATCAAGGTGTTGATGACGTAGTGAAGCCTCCTGATGAGTCACTAGGTATGCTAAATGACGAAACGCGTAGGGGCGAGAGCATACGTTTTTGGAGATGGTTTATGTAATGAATGGACTTTGATTTTGGGACTCCTGCGTGGTGATTCTTCCGTTATGGTGATGCGGTGTGTTGCTCCTCTCTCTCTCTATCTCTCTCTCTCTCTCTCTCTCTCCATCTTATGTAAGAGCAATCAACTCCCATCAGTGGAAGGAAACTCTCGCAACATGTCACGAGCAGAACTCTGTTGCAGCGCTTTCCGACGATAATCCTCAAAAGTTTGAAATCGACTTTGTCGCTGCCGATGGTAGTCAAGATGGATGGCAGCATCAACGTCTCCACGTGTTCATATCCGTATGCAACTCCTTAGCCGCTTGAGCTATATCTTGCAACCTGTGAGAGCTATCAAGATAGGAGAGATGCGCATGCACTTTTTGGGGACCAACGGATGCAAGAGGCTCGTAGACAGCAATATCAAAAGTAGAAGGAGTGACTTCTGGCAAACCTCCTATACGGACATGCAGTTGTGCAGCTGGTGAGACAGGAGCGGGGACAACGCAAGGAGCTGGAGATGGAGTAAACATAGCGGCAGGCGAAGCAGAAACAACTGTAGAAGCAGTGACGATGGGCGTTCCCACATTGGACGACGAACCATAATCTGCAAGACGTTGACAATTCGCAAGAGACGGTGCCGGTAATGACAGTGGACGGAAAGTGACCAAAGAAGGAGCGGAAAAAGCAACACCGACATGAATTCTTTTGATGAGACTTTGTATGCGAGCATATTTGAAGAAGAGATCTGGAATAGTCACATCCGTCGGACAATAGGGCAAATCAAAAGTCATTCTTACAATCTCCTCATTGGAGAGCGCAATGCACTCATCGTGCAGAAGGGATTGGAACATCCAGTTGGACTCCACATCCGAAATATTCAACGGATTGGAGGGTAGAGAGGATCCTCGTTCCAAGCGCATATTAGTGAGTTTAGTTCTCTGCCAATCAATGATTTTTTACCATATCCGTTCATCCTTCACGATCGTCGCAGTCTTCACAAACATTTCGAAAAAGATCTCATTCAAGACCTTTCGCAAACCAACCTTCTTTGCACCATCAAACCATTGAGAGAGGTAAGCGCGCGGATGAGGAACACGTGCAACTGGCGGTGGTGGATTGCTATCATCGGGCACCTCAACAACTGTCGCACAATTTCATGTTTGGGACGGGGCAAGAGCAATTCCTTCACCTTCACCTCGTTAGGACTTCAAACACAGATCACGATCATCGCCGTAAAGCACATCAGTAGGGATCGAGCGAAGTGCTCTCAGAACCTGAGTCGCAGTTTTAGGACTAACAACTTTGCTAGTCACGCGATGATCACGAAGGGTGGGTTCAAGGGCGTTGGGCGAAGGGAAAATATTTTTTTTCACACGTCGACTGCGACGACTGGTCCTTCTTTTGAATGTAAATTCAACACGGTCACCGGAACCATCAGTGGAGGTTTCTTCTTTATCATCACTTAACACACATTTATCAGCGTCACCCGACTGATCCCCCTAAC